TGACTTTTTCAACTTAAATTTTGAAAGTGTTCCGGAAAGTCTGACACTTTTCTATATATATTAAATTAAAGCTAATATAATCTACTTTATTATCTAAAAAAAAAATTTCGGACTTTATTTTGTCTTCACGGTGAAAATCGCTACCAAATGCTATTATTGTGTGAAAATTCTCAATTTTATTTTTTACATTTTTAACTTTATAATGCTATTACTTATTGAAAAGTGTATTGATCAATTTCATCGACATACTTTATCTTAATCAGGATATTAATAATGAACTAGAAGATCATGTAGCTTTTGGAATAATCCACCAATTTTTAAAAATTAAACACTATCTACAGATTTGCATCGAAGCGTTTTNTCTATAGATTTGCATCGAAGCGTTTTTTTTTGATAGTGATTTTAATCACTGTCAGATATCATTATACTTGATCGAACTATGCCACGTCACCACTGTGCCGCGACCCCCCTGTGCTGGGTTTTTTTTTATAATTTTAACTTAATAATGCNATTTTATTTTTTAGTTCGATGTGCTTTAAAAGTGTATTTTTTTAATTATATTTATTTTTCACTTTTTAGTTTTTTATGACACCACTGTCACTGTCACTGTCACAGAGTGTTTATTATCAATTATATGTAGCGTTACGCTACATTGTTTGACAGTTGCAAGAAAGTCCGCTGGACAGCGCTGTTGGACAACCTTTATTCAAAAGAATGTAAATTAATGTATTTTTTTTATTATATTTATCATAATGATTATTTTATGTTATATATCAGTCTTAACGAGAACTCTAAAATGAAATAGGAAATTAGAATACGCATTTGTTTTTTGGAGGGTATTTAAAAAATAAAATATATGTGGGCAATCGTTCTACACTACTCAGGTGGTGACGGGTAGCATAAAGTACACCGTCACTACATGTACAATTATTCTCTAAGAATTATAATAGATTTTCATTAGTTCTTCTTTTCTTTGTCTCGTTTTACTAGTGATCGCAATATTAATTGCCAACTAGTTTTCATCCATTCAACTTTCCATTGAGTAAGTTTTCTTTATTTATTCCTTATATCTTAACTCTTATTGCATATATAATTTGCAACGGTGCTCGTAATAAACGCTTTACCAACCGTGATCCAAAGGGTTAGATTCCACTACTTACATAATACAGTTCATCTTCAACGGTGATCATAACCTCTGTGTTATCGACCGTGATCGAGATAACTGTCTTTTTGTAAAGATCCCCTTAACCTTTTGCAACGGTGTTCGTAACTACTACTCGTTACCAACCGTGATCCAGATGGTTATACTTCTACTTCACCTCAAATTTAATAGTTTCTAAAATAAGACTGATTCGTAGTTAGCTGTTTTATATATATATATTCATCTTTTATAAAATAAAACAGAACAAGTCGATTATTCGAACAATTTGTGTTGTATTTTCATCTTTAAAGTTAGTAAAAAACAAATTAAAAAGAGATTAAACGTAGAAACGTTTCATATACTATCAATAGATATAATTTCTGTATTACCAGATAGTGTATTTATAAACTCACAACAATGTGTCTTACTACCATTGTTAATAAAAACTATATACCTGCGAATATCGTCATAAAAAACCAATTAGCTAATTGTATTTGTAAACCTTTGTGTATTATACACGTATATTAACTCAAAAATTTGAAACTTTAAGTGTTTATATCTAATAAACAAATAAAGTTATACTAAAAATTCAAATGTCATTTACTATTAAATTAAAAATTAATTTTAATAAATTAAAAATATGTGTTCCCATTTCAAAAAACAAAGTTGACACCCTTACCAGGCATAAGGGATGAACTTAAAAAGTATTACATAGTTAATAATTCAAGAATATTGTGTAACTAAAGATAACCAAAAAAAAAATGTTTAAATTATTATTACTCTGTAAGTCATTGAGTGGGTTATGATAAAAAAATCACCCTGTATATATTTAAAATCAAAACCTTAATGACATATCTAAAACGTGTTTTTGAGCGGATACATACAAATTGCTAAATAATTTTTAGTTGGAAATTGTTAAGCATTTCATGTTTTATTTGTACAATATTTAGTACCTCATATAACTATTGTCTTAGTTATATTCTATGAATTTTAAAGTTTAGCATTTCCCTAAATCCAAGGTGATACACAAAAATACTTTTATTTTACAAAATTTTACTATTTTGCATATATTTATTTTTTTAATTCTTAATTACCTGTAGATAATGTGTTTAAAATATACTAATAGTACGAGTTTTTGCAGAAGATTATGTGTCAATTACCCAGGGCCCCAGCCTTTTGTCACCACTTCCCTAGATTTTTACAGTGAAAATTTAATTAATTTTTCTATTAAGTAAAAAAAAAAAAATTGTTTACCAT